TATCTTCTATCCATGGTCAAAACTTTTCTTGATCATCTACGTCTCTATAGAATGATATACATATATGATATAACTTCAATTTTCCGCATTTAAAGACTCGTCAAAACGGATCTGCTCCCCAACGAATTGATAAAATAGCTTCAGCTCAAATACCCGCCAAAACGACATAAAAATCTACAAAAGGCTGTTCCCTCGCTCTCAACCTAAACGCTTTAACTATGTCCCAACCCCATACTTGAGGATTGCTCACTCCACTTGTCTCCAAAAACCCGTGAACATTCTATTGGATTCTATGTCCAATGTCAGGGGGTAAAGAGCTCGGGTTGCTTAAAGCGGCCAAGATAATGATGGCACTTCAACCGATGGTTTGGTATTGCTTCTAATTGGTGGCGTTCCTCTTGCAAAACTGTTGCACGCGCCACCCTTATGTACACATTCAAAGAGGATATTTGATATAACCAGAGCAATTATGTAATCGTTTATATCCTTTTTTATATGGAATATAGCTGGTTAAAGCAAGGTTCAACTCATGACGATAATAATGAGTTACCACAACGAATGGCTCGCTCCTTAGAATCTTAACGCGAAGCATAAAGGAACGGAGAGAAGCGCTAATTAACGTTTTACATTATTGTAACAAATACTATGAATATTACAAAATTACTATAACTTTTATTTGGTGTATGAAAGATATTAATTCAAGGGATTCTTTTTTAAAAAATCTATATTTCACGCCTAAAATATAATTGAAATTAAAAATACGAATAGTCAAAATCTTATAAAATATATATCCAAAAACGAAACAAAGCAAAGCAAAGTAAAAACAAAAAAAAATCTGATACAAATTTGAATAGAAATAATGTCTCAAAACCAATAAGGAATTAAACAATCTAAGAGGAATTTATAGATTATAAATGATATATATGTATGTATATGTGTGTGTGTGTGTGTATGTGTGTATATAGTCAGAGTGGACAAGAGTAAGTTTATCGCGATCGTGCCTCCGAGCGCATTCCGCCAGCCTCGACCCGAGACCGCCGTTTACGACAACTTTAATGACAAGCTTACGACCGGGAAGAGAATCGATTCTAGCTTTACTATCGCTATACACACATCAATCATTTAATAACACACTCAACTGAAACACATTACCTTCATATTTACTTTAATATATAACCTGCTTACGTAACCTTATTGTTTTATACAAAAAAAAATTCTGTTCTTGTTACTGAATAAGTCGAAAGTATTTAAAACGATATATAACTTTGTATTACTATTATTCTGCTAACTTCCTTGATAAACTTCAAATGTTATGAGAAATGGAAGTTTCTGGAAGATATCTTTAGTTTTATATACCTTATAGAACACAATATATAATAAAACGTAATAGAAATACATTTCATAAAAAAATATATATAAAATTTATCAAAGAAAATGGTCATTGATAAAGTTATCCCGCATGCTTTCTATTGTCTAATATATTTTTACCAATTGATATAATTATATGAATCCTTCATAAATTATCTTTGGCTATTCTATAGATAAAACCCATTTAATATTGCATTGCTTTAACGGAGGTGTCGTTCATGCCATGTACATAATATTGGAATCATTGGGCTTTCTTTATTTTAGTAAGAGTACGATAGCTCAATTGAAAAAGCAACTAGATCAAAATGTTCTCGAGATTTCAGGTTCGAATCCTGCTGTCGTAGATAATTGTACATTTTTAATTTTAATATCAAAATAATTTTTAAAAACTACGTCATGGGATTCATTATAATTAAAATAAATCTTTACTGCAAAGTAAATGAATCGTCGCGACTATGTAGTTTAAAATAATGAAAAATCGTGGTAAACCGAAAATATTAGTTTTATTTGAATGAACACTCCCCAAAGGTTTAAATCTAATCAATTGTAATTACTTATTATATACACAAAATATAGGTATACCCAACCACCTTAATATTAATAATATAAAGCGAGCAAAAAGTTGATGTTATAAAACAAACCTCAAATAAGAAATCACAAAGCAAATTAAACTACTAGTTTAAACTACATTACCAAAATAAGTTATTAAAACTACAAGTAGACTCACCCCATAACCAATTTTTAATAGTCATCAATGAAATAACTATTGACACATAACACGGAAGCCGAATAGCCAGTGATCACGACGAATACAACTCAGACACTCATTACCGAACTAAATCTATCAAATAGATATTGAAAGTTAATCTAAGATAATGAAATATTGAGACGCCTGAACGTCTTTTGATAGTGATATGATGTGATAATCATTTGTTTTGATTGAATTTATTATTAAATTGATTTGTTTATATATAGCTATATACTATACAAACCAATTATCCTTATTAATAAATCTTTAAATATACTTAATAGAGTTTAAAGATATCGGAATACCATTTTGTATGTACTTTCTTTGATAGACTGTAAAGGTAAAAATAGTTTGCATTGATCCTTTTTTAAATGTGAGCTGTTTTTAAGCTTTTATTTAGCTTGCAATATATGTACGACTATTGAATATAATTCAGACTTTTTCCTATAACGATCTACTCAGTAGATTGTAGATCCAAGCCAGGCTAGGAAAGCAGTGGTATACAGCTAGTTAAAATAAAAAGTGTTATACTACATACAGTGAAGTAACTTTTGCATGACGACTTTTTAATCAATTATCTTCAAGGAAATAGATATTATATATTATGATATTACTTTAATAAACTTATCAGTAGTACTCAGTATGAGGATGTCAGAAAAAAGTGCAATATCGCTTGATCCAGCCTTCGCTACAATATGATTATTCTTAGTGATGATGACATCACATTTCAATCCACAAAAAGTGAAGTATTTTGGAAACTTGGAAGTTAATTAAAAAAAATACTTATTTTAATTAATTAAATTTAAGGGGGAAAAAAGGATTATTTGTAAAAGTAACTAGGTGAGTATATTTCTTTAGCTATAAAGATTACGTATTATAAATATTACGATATTAGTTATTTTCTAAATGTTATGGATATTCCCCTTGTCGATAGATAGATAACGGAATTTACATACATATTTTCAACGCATTTCTACTATATGGATTTCAAATGAGCGGACTTGTTGAAACAAAATTGAAAAATAGGATCTAAACTGAAATAATTTTGACTTGTGTAATTTTTTCGGGATAGGCGTCATTGGCCTTGATTTGCAACTTGTTAAGAAAGGTTATTAAATAACATTATACCATCAAATACAAACAAGACAGGAGTTTCCTAAGGAAAAAAAATTCACGGGGTCAAAGTGATGTTACATTACAACGTAGATACCTCCAAAGACAATACTTCCGAAGACCACAAATATATGATACTGTTACACCATCAGCATAGACTTAAAGGTAAAGACGGCATTAACCTAATTAGACGCAAATCTAATTTTCAGCTAATTCTCTTTAATGAATCACTGAATTATTCGAAGTTAACCTTCAAATTTTACAACACTGACGCATTGAATGAAATGAACAGATTGAAAAACCTAACCAGCTATAATAAAAAAAAAAAAAAAAGGTTCTTTATAGTGCTTTTATTTAAAAACAGCTAAAAGAAGATAATAACGTTGTTTTTTTTAAAATTTCTACAATGAACTTATAATTATAGTTTGATAGTTAAATTTATAAATAAACTGGAACCAGTTATTATATTTTTTTATTTAGTTAAATACTCATAGATAATTGAGTATGATCTTATATATTGTATATAAGAAGAGTATAAGTCGATATGAAAAATATTTGAGGAATAATTTATTTTATTATTTTTGAATCAAATATTTTTTTTAAGATTTTACTGTTAATGTTCTCATATCTGAAAAGCAATTTCTAAATAAGATAACGGCTTCAGTTAATTGATTTAACTCTATAATTTTTTTAATAGTCAAATTTATCTATTTTCTAGATTATATGTACATACATATTTTTGGTATATAACTAAATTGTAAGAGTTTACTTCACTATAAAATAATTTATCATAACATAGGTTCAATATCATTGTAGAGGTGAAAATCAATATCTTCTTATTACTCAACAATATTTTATTCAAATCAGAATAGATTATGAACATTGTATATTTTATTTGATTTGAAACTTACGACCGTATTTTTTTAATAAAATCTAACATTATTGTGAAAGTATATGAAATACAATTACTGATCGCAGTGAAATCGGAAAGGCATAGTAACAATATTGTATAGAATGATAATCTTACCAGTATTTTCGTTTGCTGCATCAGCGCCATCGTTCTCTGAAAAGAAAGAGAAGTAATATTAATTTTCAACTAAAACCTTTTTGTTTAACTTCAAAATAAGAATAATGAGATCTAAGATTTTCCCGAGTTTTATTCATTTAAATGTAATTAATACTTTTCAGATTTACTATGTACGCGTGCTTTATTTTTAAAAAAACGTAGGAAGTATGAAGTTTTTTTACTTTTTAATAAGTGAAACTGAATTATTGTAGTTGTTAAAACAATATCATTGTCAATACTGTACTTCATAACTCTCTGTTTTGAGCATGACATTGTAAACTCGTATTGGGTAATAGTCACCTTTTTTGGCATTGAATTCATTAAATATTTTGAATCTATTAATGGAGGACGCGATTATCATAAGTAATAAACGTCTAGTGTGTACCGAGCTTAATACAAATAATTATCTGTACGAGTGTTTAATCGCTGGTACCGACAAGCACTGAAGAGGGTTCAGGAACGTGTTTGAATTTATCTAATTACTAATTGCGTGTATCCATCCCCTTGGTTCAAGTGCTGCTATCATGGAAACCGTAGCTCCATAATACATTATCAACCAATTTACATCCCCAATACAATCACGTTGAAAACAATTACATTCAAAGTGCTGCAACACTTCATAACAACTGTTGTGGATGATTAAATGCCACCTTGATGGGGCAGAAACGACCCCAGATTCTAGTCTATCAGCAGCTTGACTAGCAGCGGCAGTTATCATACACCTTTCCACCTACTTAGTCCCAATAATAGGTCGGGGCACGCGACAGGACACCGTGACAAAAGCACTGCACTACAAACCATCATTACCAAATCGAAGAAAAAGAAGTCAAAGCCAGCTGCCTTCCTACTTCCTTTCCTTACAAACGTGTAATACAAGATGTTCGTATTGTATGCCGGTTTATTTTAGGGCTTATTCATTACGGCACTCAATTTGGCGCGTGTTCTTATCTGCTTCTGTGTTTATAATCTATATGTACATGTCTCGTTTGTGTGAGTGAAGGCGAAAGACGCGTGCCCTGTTTAATACAACAGGAAGCAACGCGAGTATGTTATTGAAATACCAAATATGAAATACCAAATACAGTCAAATTACTGTGGTCCAGTTTTGTCCACTTGATAATCATTGAGCTTAATCTATGTATTTATTTGTCGTGAACATTAAAATTAGAAGTAAAAATATACAGCATTCCAATGATGGTTAAACACCGGACGTTTTATTTGCAAAATAACTCATAATCGGTATGGGCTTTATAAGAAAAAATGAAATAAGTATAAAACATTCATATTCAGGAGGTCAATATAACCGCGTTCATTAGAAACCAGTTCCAAGCATCTGCCGAGGGCGGCGCGCGGCGTCTTCCGTTGCATTGTGAGCGCACAGCCGTCTGCGCACGCGCCGATGTTGCAATTCTACGCTGATAGGGTCTCTTTGAAGACTTACATTACTTGGCAACACGTCGAGGAACGTGTAATTAAATTACTTTTATCTAAAATTTATAAAAAGAACGCCATTTATAAATGGCTTTACCACGCAAAGTATTGTAATGTACAAATGTACAAAATTTAAAACATAATTTTAAAGCGTAGACTGAATGCTACAACTAGATACAATTTGTAGCATGGTACTTTTAACGGGACAATAGCAAGTATCATATAAAGAGATAAAACTATTGAAGTTTTCCGGAAATTTATATTTTATTTAAAAAGTTAGTATTACTACATATTCTGCTGTAGATATGTTTAGTATCTACGACGTATTGTTAGTGAATAAATGGTTTTAACCCTCAAACATTGACTGGTGTCACTCGGGCCCTTATTTGCTCGGAAGCTAAGCCGCTGTAACGGTGTTTGTCCTCACGAATTTATGTGTGCCATTATGGTGTTGTCACAAATCTACTTATCTACTACAACCACGCCTTCATAATATCAGAGCGTCAACGTTATTACAGACCATATGCGAATTCTACTTCGACTATCGTTAGTTTAATTCGTGTTTCTTAAAATGCTGCATACAAGTGAGAAATTAAAAAGTGCACCGAATGAAAACATACCTACTAGGAAACTTCAATATTGACGTTTCATACAATGGTAGATGCAATCAGATATTTACAGGCTGTTCATAACAAGCGTTGCATAACACGCACACAGACACACAGATGTATCGACATGGGTATTGTCCATTGTGTCGAATGTCGACGCCTTGCCATTGTTTCACCACATCGATCCAGTTACGTACATAGTTATGTACTAGCCCTTTAACCGTCTGAGTCAATATCATATACAAGCTATGACACGGTAAAGGAAACCTTTCGCAGTATTCATGAACCACAGACTTTAATAATAACATATAGAATGAAACGCAAGAAAACTCCATAGAAACATATTAGCTTACATAAATTTCATGTTTCCCGTACAAACGGTGACGAAATTCAAACAAAATTTAATATAGTCCCGGATATAAATCGTGATATTGGAGTAATTCTTGTAATAACTGTGTAGCTGTCATTTGAACATTGTAAATCCACCCACAGACAGGCGGAATTCGCGTTTCGTCGCCAAATTAGATGATTTATTGTCATCTCGGATCAAACAATAACTGAACAAATATACACACGGGGTGAATTTGATATCTGTTAGAGGAACAATTCGGAATAAAATTTTAAGTTTAATAATAAATATTAGTTAATGCTCTGATTATTTCCTAACTTAATAATGTTCTTGACTCCTATACTACTTGCTTAAGACGCGTTATGAAGGTTGAGCTTAACTAATTTATGGTTGAAAAAAATTACATCTTACATAACTAAAACTTCTTTGGAATAAGAATAACCTATTTATTTAATAGAGCAGAGGTAATTGTAAGCACTTTTGTGGTTGTAATATTACATTAACGTAACAGCAAAACAGTTTAGTTAAAGAATTTTTCATTTGTGCCTTTTAAGTTAGAATTATAATTAGTAATATAAAATCAGTTTAATGTCATGATAAAACGAAAAATATGAAATACATACAGTTAGCGCACTAGGAAACACGACTAATTAAAAAATGTCGAGTATACGCTACGAATTAAAAGTATGAAATCAACTAGTGTAAAATATGGAACGTAGGGGTAATGGCGGCAATATGAACAGAAATATTATAATAAACAATAAAAGTATATTGTGAATGTGACATACGCGTGTCGCTCGGGCCCCGGACATTTAAGGGTTAACAGAGCGAGGGTTGTCTTCGTCAGGCGAGGATTATCGGACAATAACTTACTCAGTTGTAATGGATTCAGGGAATTAATCATAACACTGCCTTCCCTGCTTGTAAAGCATCATTCATATAGAATTTAAAAAAATTAAAACTATTTAAAAACACCTTTAAATGAAACTAATATTTTCGGATTTACTATGCGATTATTTTTTTTACTATAAACTACATACTCCCGACGTATCGGGTACTTTACCGTTACCGTGATCACGGGCAGACGAGATGTGATACACATCGGGAATATGTAGATTATAGTCAAAAAAAAACGCGTAGTAAATCAGAAAATATTAGTTTAATTTAAATGAGTACTCGCGAAAATATTAGATCTCATTATTTAAAAACACCTCCAAGATAGCGAGTCTTTCACAGATTTCCAATCGAACATTTCGTCAATACTTCACAGGAATGATGAGAGCATATTGTTTCATAAACGTATTTTCACTCCCCATAAGAAAACTGCATTCCCTGTATGACATCAAACACGAATTAACTTTCAACGACACCCCATTCTTAGAGTGGACCGAAACTTCTCACAGGCGGAGGGATTACTTGGCACGCGACTGTACAGATATTGTCGATTTAGACTAGAGAAGTAATGATCCTGACGTAATTGTTGGGGATTTCTAATACCTAGATCCATTTGGCTTGATTAATTTATGTGGCGATTTAATAAACCCGTATCTAATTCAATCCTTAATAACATTTTATTGTTTTGTTTTAATTTTATTTTATCTACAGCCTTATTATTTTTAAATGACCGAAGATTTTTGAGATATACATTTTTTATGTTTGGTTATAATTTAATTAAAAAAAATATCCTTCTGTTAGCAGCCTATAGTGTATTTTTCCCAAATAGTTTGAGTAAAATTTCGTACTAATAATTAAAAATTCAAGGTTTCTTGTATAGTTATATTTAGTCGTAATATTTGATACAACATATTTCGAATCGGTTACAAATTTTTATGGGTTTACCATGACAGTACATTCATATTATGAATCATTAAAACACATTTATCTGCCCACATTAAGCTCTATTATATAGATGTCATTTTTTTTCATCTCTGCAGCGCGTCGCTACGCATTGTTCATGACCCCTGCTTCCAATAAATTAGCGGAACATTCCTAACATTTAAATTATTATATTGCTCCCGAAAGGACATTTAAATATTTTTTTATAAAATCATAACATAAGTTCCATCGTCAATTTCAAAATCTTCCAACAAACTAATATTTTTCGGATATACTACGCGGTTATTTACTATAGATTCTCATCTCGACTGCCCGTGATCAAGATGGCTGAAAAGTAGCCGAAACGTCAGGAGCATGTAGTTTTTGTCACAAAAATAAACAGCAAAATATAAGTTTCATAATTAGTTTAAATACATAAAACTTGAGAAAATTATCCATAAACAAACTAAGTAATCATAGTAATCATTAATAATATTAGTTGTTTTACGTCCATAATCTATATATCTATAGCTATATATGACATATTGTTCCTATGATCGTCTCTGTCAACCCATGGATCTATGGGGCTCAGCATACGGAGTCAGTGGTAATGTTCCACGCAATTGTAAGCCAAATCCCTCGCACAATAAAATTATTGAGTTACACATGTCCCACAGTCATGCGCAAATATAGATATGAAATAAATAGCTTTCCGTTATTATCTATAATGACTCCATTATCCTAGGTAGATGTTATTGTGTATTTTTTATACATAAAAATATCAGCCCTTATTAGTATAGATAAAATTTGTTCCGAGCGACGAAAAAGTTTATGTATCGACAGTAAATACATCCTATGTAAATGAGTTATAATTATTTTAAAAAGGTTTTCTTGATACATATATAGGTATATAGTATTATTCTTCTTGACCGTTATTTTATCAACATTTTAATATATGTTTATATTTTATTTTCTTTTAAACTTTCACTTTTTATTAAATGTCATATTTTGTATGCAATCATTCTAGTACTATGTACACTTTTAATAAAAATAATTATGAATATCATACAGAATTAAAAACAACTCTGTAGCATTTAATAAACCTAAACAAATATACATTTTTTCAACATATAACAAACTTTTAAGAAAATCAAATAAATTAGATAATAAACAGAACCGTTTCCGAATAAAACGTACATTTGTTAAAAGGGATAAGAAGCCCCTACATAAAACAATATGCCGTTTGATCTGTCGCCCCAAACACTTGCGGGGCATCTGACAATTACTTGAGACAAGTATAAATAATTATTATGTAACAAATGGCTTCAATCATAGCTTGTTTTGATATGACTCTCTAATGTTTTGAATAGAGACCGGACTTTGATCTTTCGTATTATTATATAAGAATCTTTTACAAAACAATTAAGATAAAAATTATGACATAATAAACTTCTTAAATAAACGCCACATATATCTTATAGTATATTATTAAAAATAAAATGTATTATTATGAAGTACATAAACATTACTTTGTGGATTATTCAATAATTCATGAATATAATTCATATTGACTTTCTTGAGCGTTGAGGAGCTTTTATTATGACGATTCAACGCCATCTGGCGAATCTTGACGACAACTCGCATTGGAATTATTGTTATTAATTAGAGGCCCTTGGATTAATTAAGTAGGGCGCCAATCACATCGTCAGCCGCTCCGTGCCAGTCTTACTGAACGTCTTTGTTAACATCGCTGCCACAGAGCTTTTATGTTTAGATACGGCAAAATCTTAATTCGGATTATTATTAAACAAAACAATTTAATATATAGCATTCTTATTTATAGAGAAGTTCAAATATTACTCATTATAATACCGTTTTAACATGATAAAGAAATTATTTAGTGTTAATCGTAGCAAATCGCAGATAATTATTAATTTTTCAGGAAAAGTTATTAAAACTTTGTATGCAAGTAAGTATATTTATCATATTTGCCAGTTCTGTCACTGTCATAGCGTATGTCTCTCTCGATAATGAAGTGGTATAATTTTAATCGTTCGCGAATTGCCTGGCGTAATGCTTTAGACACGTGACGCCTCATGTTGACGTAACTACACTTATCCTTAATACCAAATATCGTAAGAAAAGTTCGCCTTTAATGAAATCACTTCCTCACTACCTTTTGTTATTAAATTTAGAATAAATTTTGATATGTGATG